CTTCTAAGGAAGATTACGGCTTTATTTAAAGTATATAAGATCAATCTACCACTCCGTTTTAGCTCTACTCGTTTGCCAAGTAATCGTAGACCGGATTTTCACGACACACGCATCTTTCGTCGAATTCTGGATTATAATGGATTATTGGCATACATGAGAGTGTAGACCTTCTAAGGAAGATTACGGCTTTATTTAAAGTATATGAGATCAATCTACCACTCCGTTTTAGCTCTACTCGTTGGCCAAGTAATCGTAGACCGGATTTTCACGACCCTTGCAACTATGGTGTGGATTTGGGTTATAATGGATCATTGGCATACATGAGAGTGTAGACTTTCTAAGGAAGACTACAGCTTTATTTAAAATATATGAGATCAAACTACCTGACCGTTTTAACTCAACACCTCGGCCAAGTAATCGTAGACCGGATTTTCACGCCACACGCATCTTTCGTCGAATTCTGGGTTATAATGGATAATTGGCATATATGAGAGTATAGACCTTCTAAGGAAAATTACGGCTTTATTTAAAGTATATGAGATCAATCTACCACTCTGTTTTAGCTCTACTCGTTGGCCAAGTAATCGTAGACCGGATTTTCACGCCACACGCATCTTTCGTCGAATTCTGGATTATAATGGATCATTGGCATACATGAGTGTGTAGACCTTCTAAGGAAGATTACGGCTTTATTTAAAGTATATAAGATCAATCTACCACTCCGTTTTAGCTCTACTCGTTGGCCAAGTAATCGTAGACCGGATTTTCACGACACACGCATCTTTCGTCGAATTCTGGATTATAATGGATTATTGGCATACATGAGAGTGTAGACCTTCTAAGGAAGATTACGGCTTTATTTAAAGTATATGAGATCAATCTACCACTCCGTTTTAGCTCTACTCGTTTGCCAAGTAATCGTAGACCGGATTTTCACGCCACACGCATCTTTCGTCGAATTCTGGATCATAATGGATCATTGGCATACATGAGTGTGTAGGCCTTCTAAGGAAGATTACGGCTTTATTTAAAGTATATGAGATCAAACTACCTGACCGTTTTAACTCAACACCTCGGCCAAGTAATCGTAGACCGGATTTTCACGCCACACGCATCTTTCGTCGAATTCTGGATTATAATGGATAATTGGCATACATGAGAGTATAGACCTTCTAAGGAAAATTACGGCTTTATTTAAAGTATATGAGATCAAACTACCTGACCGTTTTAACTCAACACCTCGGCCAAGTAATCGTAGACCGGATTTTCACGCCACACGCATCTTTCGTCGAATTCTGGGTTATAATGGATAATTGGCATATATGAGAGTATAGACCTTCTAAGGAAAATTACGGCTTTATTTAAAGTATATGAGATCAAACTACCTGACCGTTTTAACTCAACACCTCGGCCAAGTAATCGTAGACCGGATTTTCACGCCACACGCATCTTTCGTCGAATTCTGGGTTATAATGGATCATTGGCATACATGAGTGTGTAGACTTTCTAAGGAATATTACGGCTTTATTTAAAATATATCAGATCAATCTACCACTCTATTTTAGCTCTACTCGTTGGCCAAGTAATCGTATACCGGATTTTCACGCCACACGCATCTTTCGTCGAATTCTGGATTATAATGGATTATTGGCATATATGAGAGTGTGGACTTTCTAAGAAAGATTACGGCTTTATTTAAAGTATATGAGATTCATCTACCACTCCGTTTTAGCTCTACTCGCTGGCCAAGTAATCGTAGACCGGATTTTCACGACACACGCATCTTTCGTCGAATTCTGGATTATAATGGATTATTGGCATACATGAGAGTGTAGACCTTCTAAGGAAGATTACGGCTTTATTTAAAGTATATGAGATCAATCTACCACTCCGTTTTAGCTCTACTCGTTGGCCAAGTAATCGTAGACCGGATTTTCACGACACACGCATCTTTCGTCGAATTCTGGATTATAATGGATTATTGGCATACATGAGAGTGTAGACCTTCTAAGGAAGATTACGGCTTTATTTAAAGTATATGAGATCAATCTACCACTCCGTTTTAGCTCTACTCGTTTGCCAAGTAATCGTAGACCGGATTTTCACGCCACACGCATCTTTCGTCGAATTCTGGATTATAATGGATCATTGGCATACATGAGTGTGTAGGCCTTCTAAGGAAGATTACGGCTTTATTTAAAGTATATAAGATCAATCTACCACTCCGTTTTAGCTCTACTCGTTTGCCAAGTAATCGTAGACCGGATTTTCACGACACACGCATCTTTCGTCGAATTCTGGATTATAATGGATTATTGGCATACATGAGAGTGTAGACCTTCTAAGGAAGATTACGGCTTTATTTAAAGTATATGAGATCAATCTACCACTCCGTTTTAGCTCTACTCGTTGGCCAAGTAATCGTAGACCGGATTTTCACGACCCTTGCAACTATGGTGTGGATTTGGGTTATAATGGATCATTGGCATACATGAGAGTGTAGACTTTCTAAGGAAGACTACAGCTTTATTTAAAATATATGAGATCAAACTACCTGACCGTTTTAACTCAACACCTCGGCCAAGTAATCGTAGACCGGATTTTCACGCCACACGCATCTTTCGTCGAATTCTGGGTTATAATGGATAATTGGCATATATGAGAGTATAGACCTTCTAAGGAAAATTACGGCTTTATTTAAAGTATATGAGATCAATCTACCACTCTGTTTTAGCTCTACTCGTTGGCCAAGTAATCGTAGACCGGATTTTCACGCCACACGCATCTTTCGTCGAATTCTGGATTATAATGGATCATTGGCATACATGAGTGTGTAGACCTTCTAAGGAAGATTACGGCTTTATTTAAAGTATATAAGATCAATCTACCACTCCGTTTTAGCTCTACTCGTTTGCCAAGTAATCGTAGACCGGATTTTCACGCCACACGCATCTTTCGTCGAATTCTGGATTATAATGGATCATTGGCATACATGAGAGTGTAGACTTTCTAAGGAAGATTACGGCTTTATTTAAAGTATATGAGATCAATCTACCACTCCGTTTTAGCTCTACTCGTTTGCCAAGTAATCGTAGACCGGATTTTCACGACACATGCTTCTTATATCGAATTCTGGGTTATAATGGATTATTGGCATACATGAGAGTGTAGACTTTCTAAGGAAGATTACGGCTTTATTTAAAATATATCAGATTCATCTACCACTCCGTTTTAGCTCTACTCGCTGGCCAAGTAATCGTAGACCGGATTTTCGCGACCCTTGCAACTATGGTGTGGATTTGGGTTATAATGGATAATTGGCATACATGAGCGATTAGACCTTCGCAGGAAGTTTGCGGTTTCATGTTCGGTATATCTGATCAATCTACTTCTTCGTTTTAGCTTTACTTGTTGGTAAAGTAATCGTAGACCGGATTTTCACGACTAAAAACTAAAGCAGAATCCATTGGTAAGTATCTTTTTTATTTCTATAAAATTTTTAATCAATAATGAAATAAATAATGTGTTAATTTTATAATATTAAGGTACTAATAGTTTTTTTATATAAACATTGTAGTTTCTAAAGGTCAAAAAAAAGTAGCATGGACCAAAAAATCAATCAACAACCTGTTAGCATATTTTCCAAATGCTCTTGAACTTGATACCAAGGTACCAAGTGCTGCTTCAATTGAAACATTAATAGGAACAACAGAAGATAAAACTTTGAGGCAAAGAACCGAACCACAGATTAGATCATGGATTCACACACAAAGAAATAGAAAAAAAAACTAAATTAAATGTACCAGAAAGGAATAGTGTACCAAAATGAATATATGGAGGATTTGCCAAATATATTAAGGCTGATAAGATACCATCGATCAAGACATGTGCAAAATTTATTGGTAATTCCCCTTCTAAAGCAAATGTAACTGTTCAGAATATTCAAAATTGGGTTGAGACTGCGATTCGCAGGCAAAGTTTGTAAGATAGTCATTTGATTTGTATTCACATTCATTAAAATTTTCTATTTATCGAAAGTTATCTATTTGATATTGTTAATGTGATTTAACTTTATTTATGTATATGGTATCAAAGTAAGACTTTGATTACTTCTATTTAGAATAATAAATATATGTTATGCAATTTTCTAATTTTCAACGGAAGTACTTGAAAATAAGAAGATATTATGTGTTTTAACAGTTTAATTATGTTTTACACATTTTTGTAAAGATTTTTGCAAATCAAAAAAGAAAAGTAACTATATTTAATAGTTAGTTTAATTTTATATTTTGTTTCTACTATTAAAAAATGATAACTTATCTTTGTTAATCTTAATCTTAACAAAAACTCTATATAAAAAAGCTTAAAATTCTACTCTTATAAATACTTAATTAATGTAACTTTGTGATAAAACTTATGTGTTAAGGACAACAAATGTGATTTAATTATTATTATAAAGTATCCTTAAGCTCAAAGATCAAATCATTCAATTAAAAACAAAGCTATAAGATTCACATCGTACACTATTTTGTCTAATATAGATATAAGAAGTCAAATAAGGTAGTAAATAATAGTCAAATAAAAAGGCGAACTATAAAGATGTATATGATTAGAAGAGTTGAAAAATTGATACTTGAAATTATAGTTCCTATCAATTGCTGGTAATGAGCAAGACCTTGATTACGTAAAAAATTAAAAGCTGAATACTTTAGTTCACTATCTACTTTTAAAAATTTTGTTGCTATAAAATTTATGTACAACATACATATCAAATGTATTATTTTTAAATATAATAAAGTTATTTAAATGATTTTATGAAGCTTTTTTTTAAGTAGTTTTATATAAGCTTAGGAATTAATATTACTATAAAGATAAACATGGTTACAAAAGTACAATATTGATAATTGATAGTTGTATTTTAAAAAATGAAATTATAATTTATTGATAGTAAAATTTATAAATAACAAATAAATATTATAAAATTTTTGCATAACTGCTGATGCTTGCACAAGAATTATAATCTCTGTCAATTGCTGGAGTGAGCAAGCCCTTGGTTACGTAAAAAATTAATAGCTGGATACTTCGGTTCATTATCATCTTTTAGAAATTTTATTACAATATCTTTATCATTATGAGCCATCATTAAGTGTCTAGCAAAATGGGTTATAAATTTTTCACAGTATAAATAGAATGAATATCCTTCTGCTTTTCACTTGGTAGAGTAGTACTGAATAATTGATGAATCAAGCATCTCCAACTTATGCATAAGCAATTTTTTTGTCTAATTTTAAATAATTTGGAAACCCATAAAATTCTTTATATGAATCTAGAATATTGTAATTTAAATACAGAATTTAAATTTTAATTTTTGAATTTATACTACAGTGTAAAATATATATCAATTGAACATATACTATACCATCTGAAAATTTTGAAATTGTAATAGTCTTCAAAAACAAATTCCTTTTTATTGAATTTAGTTTTGTTCGATGATAATAAAATTACTTTCAAAGCATCGGTATTGTAAGAATAATGTCATCCCTTATTGTAACTGAGTAATTTGATAAAAAAATATTGTAAACATTTTAATAATTATTTACCAAAATATATATGTTTCTATACAAAAAGTTTCTTACAAAGTCCATTGGAGAGACATAGATTTTCATTGGAATTTGTTCTTAAATTGTCACATGAATGCTCCAGTTTTTTGAAGTGTACTGCTTCTGTGAAACAAATTTGAAAAAAATAAACAAAATTACAATTCTGAAAATTTTGAGTACCATGAAATTTTTTTACAACATTTCTAAATTTTTCAAAATTGATTTGAGTAAAAAATATTCATACGTATGTGCATGTATACAAAAATATTTTTACCAGAACTTTGATCGAATAGAGGATATAAAATTTTTGCATAACTGTTGATGCCTCCACAAGGTTTTCTTTGAAAAATAGCCATAACAAGTATTACACTGTACTTTTTCAACTTTGTGCACTGCGTCTTTTCTCACTTTCATAACTGGAATTATAATACCTGTCAATTGCTGGTAGTGAGCAAGCCCTTGGTTACGTAAAAAATTAATAGCTGGATACTTCAGTTCATTATCATCTTTTAGAAATTTTATTACAATATCTTTATTCTTATGAGCCATCATTAAGTGTCTAGCAAAATGAGTTAAAAATTTTTCACAGTATAAACAGAATGAATATCTTTCTATGTTTTTTACTTGGTAGTACTGAATAATTGATGAATTGAGTATCTCCAACTTGACGTATGCATAAGCAATTTTTTTGTCTAATTTTAAATAATTTGAAAACCCATAAAATTCTTCATATGAATCTAGATTATTGTAATTTAAATATACAATCTAAATTTTAAGTTTTTAATTTATACTACAGTGTAAAATAGATATCAATGGAACATATACTATACCATCTGAAAATTTTGAAATTGTAATAGAGTCTTCAAAAACAAATTCCTTTTTATTAAATTTAGTTTTGTTCGGTGATGATAAAATTTCTTTCAAAGCATCAGTATTATAGGAACTGTCATCTCTTATTGTAACTGAGTAATTTGATAAAAAATTATTGTAAACAATTTATAAAAATTTAGAGTACCATGAAATTTTTTTACAATAGTTCTAAATTTTGCAAAATTGATTTGAGTAAAAAATATTCATACTTATGTGCATACATATAAAAATATTCTTACCAGAATTTTGATCAAATAGAGGCAAATTTTCATTTGACTTTGAACTTGAACTTTTACATGATGCTGCAAGTTTACTAGAGTGCCCTGATTCTATTGAACAATCCTCAAGATTAGGGACTGCACCCATACTACCATTGGACAAATTGAAGCTTTGAGAAGTTGAAGTGCCGTTAGATTCTTTATCAATAACTATAGAATATTCCAAACATGATAAAACATCAATTAGAATCTAATTTAATAGTTATACGAAATTGAACATATGGATTATATTTGCTAATATTAAAATTGGATTATATTTGCTAATATTAAAATTGGATTATATTTGCTAATATTAAAATATTGCTAATATTGATAAATTCAAAAAGTTTTAATATCATACTCACCTTGTTTAAAAAAACCATTCTTATTTTTCTCACAAGTCTTGCATTTACATTGTTCATTGTTTGGGCCAAAATAGTTTTTGCCATAATAGCAATACAACTCATCCCCTCTTCTAATATTTTTTATTGTTAAAATTATAATTACACTCTTAGATGTCGTAAAATATATACAATTTGGATCACAATCGTGGTTTACTAAAGCTGCAGTACCCAACATCAATACTGGTGCTTTTATTCTTGAACTCTCTATAACTGAGAAATTTAAATTTCTCTCTGCTAGTATTTGTTCCCGTTGCATACTCATTTGTTTATAAATGCCTGACAAACATCTTATTTTTACGTTGTTGCTTATATTTACTTTAGCTGAAATTTTTAAACCAATTTTTTCATTATATCTATTACACAGCTCAATGCTCACTGGTGATTCAATAGTAATTGTTTCAAGATAAAATCTCATTGGTACATTAACCCATGATCTGTATTTAATATTAAAAGTGTAATATAAATTTTGCTCATTCAGAAAATTTTTCAGTGCATCTTCAACTTCATGTAATTTTTCTTTAGGTAACAACTTTTGTTTGGAGATAATCATTTCATTATTAATCTTATTTTCTAAGATAAAACTTTTCAATGGGAGCATTTTACGTGTTGAACATCCCATGTATGGATCCAAAATAATAAATTTCATTAGATCGTCTATTTCCATCAGCGAAATACAATTTATACCTATTTTTTTAGGTAATTCGCTTGCCAATTGACTTTCAAACATTTGGAAAATTAATACTTTAAAACAAAAATTTGATTGTAAAATAAAAATTTAACAATACTCTAATTACTCTAATTACTCTAAATTGTTTGAGTCGTAATTAGACATTATTATAGATTACATTTGACAGCTTAATTTTAACAATTAATTTTTAAAGCGATAACGAGTTTTTTATCAATAATGTATGAGTAATCTCAGGAGTAACAAAACTCTTTGATCTTTCATAGGTTATACCTCAAACTCCGTTCGTTCCCACAAAATTTTATTTTTATGGATGGAAAAAAAATGTAATAATCTAAGGGTGATTACAGAACGATTCTGACACCTCCAAAAAGACACGTCATTCTGTCACATGCACAGCCATCTTAAGGATATTCAAGAATATTGAAATCCTCGAAGTGACATGAAATAAAAGTATTAATATATTACATTAGTATCTACATATATTGATAACGACTTAATTTGCAGTAATTTTCAAATAGCGACAAATCTATCTATGATATTGGAAGTACTATATATGGAAAAAAAAAATATCCCCAAAGTGACCAATAGCGATATATATATATATATATATATATATATATATATATATATATATATATATATATATATATATATATATGTTTATATATATATAAACACGTTTCACATGTTAAAACTATAATTATCAATGTTTTGGGCAAAAAAAAAAAAAACGAAAAATCGATATTTTATCACGAAAACGTAAAAGTACGCGATCACTCCTATACCAATTTAAAGGTCTTGTAATGCTTAATCTATCATAAAAATTTGAAAAAAAACGATGGCTTTTTTGAGAAAATTGAGTTTGAAATTTTTTCGAAAAATTGAGTTTTTCCCGCCAATTTTTAATATTTTTTTATTCTGCATGGCGCATTCGAAAGAGTATAAGAAATACAGTAAAATAAGCTATAAATAACATATTAAGTAGAAAAATTAGAAAATATAGAGCATTTTTTAAAATTTTAATATTTGATTTTTAGAAAATTTATTTTTTAACCACTTTTTTAAAATGCTCGTAAAAAATGATGTAGAGGTCTAATCGAAAAAAAAAAAAAAATACGTGTCGGCTTATTTTTGAAGTAGAATAACATACTCCACAGCCGAATCAATCGGAGAAATCATTGCCGTAGGCCTGCTCGATCTGAAATGGATCCGGTCATAAAGTTCTTTCTTAGACAATTGTTAGTTAACCGTCCATTTATTTGTTGATGGAAAGTTGATAAAATGTTTCATACTTCTTGAGAATAATGTTCAAGAAATTATGCAGGCAATGGAATAAAGGACAACAATTCAGTATTTATATAATTTAAGAAATACTATTTCGTGTCTTTACACATACGTAGAACGAGAGCAATTGGTTTCGCCCTTTCAGAGCCAGAGAGAACAAGACTGAAATTTTAAATCAGCAACATAGGCTAGGATACCAAAACAACACACATAGACACACCTTTAATCAACGATGTATGAAATATAAAACAGAGAGAGAGAAATTATTGGAATATAGTTCCTCAACAGAACTCAATTTAAATATACAGAGTGAACTATTTTTTTTATTAATGGTAGACTATTTCAATGAACCCAGAAAATTTTCTCGAAAACTATGGAAGTTAGGAAAAAATTGTTCGGATGAAAATTGCTTAATTTTGAGGGGGACATATGAACTTGGCTTTGATTTTGGAGGTCATGTTCATGGTCAACTTTTTTTAATAGAAACCTCTTCTTTAGTTCCCAACTTCGTAAAGAACGATAAATTCTACGTTTACATGAGGTAACATAGTTGAAGTCCGTATGACCTATAAGATCATTACGAGCTCAGTTTTATTTTTTTTCCTTCCATCTAAATGCTCGGATAAGTGAAAATTATTTTAGACCAATGTTGCTTATCTTTGAGAAAGATGTATATTGCTATAAGACTGTCTTTCATTTTTAAAATCATGTTCTAAATTATAGTTATTATTGTTAGATATTATTATTAGATAATTTGCTAAAAATTCTGATATCATCAATTGAAAATTCAGATAATAATCTTCGATAGATCTTCATTGCAAAAATTCATATTAAAAACTTATGTCAAATGCTACAACTCAATAAAAAATTACAGTAAAACAAAATAACTAATTTTTTTACGTTTTAAATTTTTGAAAATTATTAAAAGTAAATTAATCTTGCAATTTCAGTAATTTTTCAAATTTTGTCATCTGATTAGTGATACAGGGTCCAATTAAAATTTTGAGATTTAAATTTTATATAAGTGATTAAAATCTTTATAAATGCCTGACTATCAGCCGAATGAGATTATACATATGTTACTGGTTTTAGGAGAAAGTGTATTATAATAATCGTGCTACAGCAATAACACAGTCCTACAAAAATACCTTAATTTTTTGCACAAGCAAACCATATATGTTTTCCCAAAGAATTTTTGGCGCTGAAACCAAATCCGACCTCAGAATTGCTCCAGCACGTCAGGATTTTGAGATATCTTAATCTAAAAGTGTGAAAATAGCGATTTTTACCTATATTTGAGGTTATGTAGCACCACAACATTATCTATACGTAAAAACTACAAACGACATATTAAAGAAGCAGTCTAGTCCTTTTAAATGCCGCTGAGTTTGCTCAGTTTGCTTATTTTTTCTTTGAGATATTAAATTTCAAAGTTTTTCATTTCATGAATATTGTACCTTTCAGAACATGTAGCTTTGAACGTTTCGACGTCGAATTTTGTGTCAAGCGTCTTCAATCAATTACTGTTCTACAACAAAATTAAGATATATACTATGGACAGGTTAACCTAAATTACGTCATCCCGACGAACCCTTACAGCCCTTATAAACCACCCCTACCTGAGGAGGGGTATATCAGAGATAACGTCAATGAGATATTCATTTTTTTACAGAAAAGCAGTTGATTAAACTCGCTCTACCAAGGGTTAGGTGGGTTTGTTTGCTTGGGGGTTGGTAGAGGGAGTTTCTGAGGGTTTTCTGAGGATAGAGTACGTCAAGGAGAAAACAGATAAGCCTATCTATGGTTGAGATCTTAGGTTCCTCATAAAAAAGCAGTCGATTAAACTCGCTCTACCCAGATTTATCGTAGGTAGGTTAGCCTATTTGAGGGTTGGCAGGGATGGTTTTTAAGAGTTGTAAGGATTTGTGGGAATGATATAATTTAGGTTAAAGGTAGGTTAGCCTGTCTATGGTATATATCTTAATTTTCTTGCAGAACAGTAGTTGATTGAAGTCGTTTGACATAAAATTCGACGTCGAAACTTTCAAAGCTGTACGAGTATGTTCTGAGAGGTACAATATTTATGAAATCGAAAAATTTTAAAATATAATATCTCAAAGAAAAAATTAGCTATTTGAGCAAACTCAACGGCATTTGAAAGGACTAAGCGGCTACTTTAAGATGTTGTTTCTAGTTTTTTGGGTATAGAGAATGTCGAAGTGCTACATAACCTCAAATATAGGCAAAAATCGCTATTTTCGCACTTTTAGGTTAGGATATCTTAAAATCCTGACGTGTTGGAGAAATTCTGAGGCCGGATTCAGTTTCAGCGCCAAAAATTCTTCGGGGAACCATGTATAGTTTGCTTGTGCAAAAATCTTGTCGGACTATGTAATTCATGCTATACGTTTTCCTGACGAACAACACTCAAATTATAGTATAAAACGCAAAACTCAGAAATCTCTTGGTGAACATATGGTTTACCAATGCAAGTGTCATATATGTGATAAAAATTATAAAAAATGATATATGTCTTACTATTGTTCCTACAGTTATTCATTCTTATCTTCATATCAGTAGTCACAAAGTTGAAAGAGAGCATATTATATCAAGAAAAATATTTTTGAGAATTCTTATATCATTTCACTATCGTGCTTATCATATTACTCTGTTTGGAGAAATATAAGCTGCATATGCTTGACAGCAAATTGTGTTTTGCCAAAGAGTTTTCTAGACGATACAGAATGATCTAAATTTTTGTTAACCTTATTCTTTTCTCAAATAAGGCTAAATTTTTAAGTGTCAGAAATCAATAAGCTTAATAGTGGCATACGACTATATCACAAGCAAAGCCGAACCAAATCTTTATTATCATTTTAATTTAAGTTTTTTGTTTCGGACCAGCAAACAGGAATCTACTTGGTGGATTACTATAACTTTCATATATGTACACTATCGTCCATAAAGATTTGCCATCCCCTTGCTGAAATCATCAAAACTTTAGAGTTTTATGGCTCAGTTTCTATAAGAGCTAGAAAATCCTGCGGGGTCTCATTTGAAAGGTCTTGCCAAAACCTTTCAAATGTTGTAAAACATAATTGATTTTATTTGTTTTTTGTACAACTTGTGACGTCATAAACAAATTGTTTTTTTTAATTTTTTCACATCAACTTCGACCCCGATTTATTTATATAACGGATTCTACGATGGAAAAACTGTATAAGCCATTCGATAGAGCTTTCAAAAAGCTACAAAATCCATATCCGGTAAATTTTTTCACCTTTATTTTTTATGAGTTATATGGTGTTTTATACAAAAACAAAGATTTTCAAAAAATGGGCTGTATTTTTTTTATTTTCAACTCTAAAGAAAAAACTCTCAGAAGAAAAAATGTAGTATTTTGCAAGAGCTATCAAATGCGCCACTCAGAATTAAAAAAAAAAAAAATTTTTTTTCACGTGTTTTAGAATTGAAATTTTTCTAGAAAAAAAACTGAAATTACGTATATTTAATAAAATTAGTAAGTGACTAGTATTTATAACTGAATGGACTTACAAACAATAATAACAAGATACATTTATTGTATTCGACGTTTGTAACAGAGGAATTTGCATTGTTTTCATTTTTAATGACTTTCTACAGTATTGTGCTCACCGATAATCACTGTGATAATCACTGAGTGTTTACGTGGTTTGATTTACTTGACTTTCATGAATGTATACATATAGCAGAGAATACGTATGGAAATTCAGTCTCTTATCAGCTTTAATGAGTGAAATATCAATGTGTCCAATCTAGTCAGTAAATTATGCATGTATTTTTTGTTCATTAAAAATGACGAAAAAAAGAAACTTAAGCATTGAAGAGCGATCTGAGATAGTAGCCTTGCATAAAGTGAATAAAAGTAATAATGAAATTTCCAAAATTTTGAATATTCCAAGAAGAACAGTTGATTATAACATTAAAAAATTCATAACTCTAGGAAATATCA